TCTTCCGCCTCAAATCGTTTCTTGCCAGCTGGGATTTAATGGGGTGAACCCCATAAATCATTCAGGTTATTCAATCAGATTCGGTGGGGTAAGTCGGAGTAAACACAGGTATGTAAAAGCATGTTAGGTGGGGTTACTAACAACCTCAGCTCATATTCGATGAGGTAAACCATGGTAAACCTCACAACCCAGAAAAAGATAGACAAGGGCATTGCATGGCATTGTCACTATAAAATAAAAACAACTTCTCAGTAATTGTGCTTCTCATCCCACTCATGTCAATTTAACCAGCAATGTCAACCTGTCTATCTTTTTGGGGGTCGCTATACAAACTATTCCTAAGCCCAGAACTGGGTTACCCTTCACCCATCAGCACCTGTTCGTCCTGAACATGCTTTTCGGCCACCGTGAAGAATAGTGCGGCCTGGTCCACGAGCCCAAAAAAAGTATAACGGATGCGTCATTCCTATGTGGAGGGTTCCATAAAAATGTAGGACAAGGATCTTTTGAAGCCATGAAGTTGTGGGGGAAGTGATCTTCTAAACCTCCTGATGCTGAGAATCGATTTGAACAAAACATGATCATTGGAGACCCTGTGAGCGAAAAGGGGTAGCTTAATCAGTAGCCTTTGGTTATTTTACATAGCGGAAAATGGCCTATTGATAGGTGATTTATAGTGATGTACCTATTATTTTAATGGTGATTTGCCATAGCTACGTAACAAATTACCAGGAGTCATCTTGAGGCACACACATTTGCACATTCTGCATCATTTCAGAGTTCTGCAACCCCACCGTGGCAGCCAAAATCGTGTGAAAGAAATCTTGCACTAACCATTGCTACGTTCAAAACAGCTAAAACAGGGCATTGCCAAACTGGTTGGTGGTTTGAACCCCTCTGAAAAATATTAGTCAGTTGGGATTATTATTCCCAATATATGGAAAGTCATAAAAAATGTTCCAAACCACCAACCAGCAAATGGTGGTCTGTTGCCGCTCTAGAACAAGACTTGTTCGAATTGGATCTTATTGATCTCATCCGTAAACTAATCGGGTTGGTGGTTTCGAGATGTTTCGAGCCCTACCCCTCTGACAAATGGTGTGGCCTAGGGATATGCCAGAGGGAAAATGGACAAAATCCATCAAAGTGGCTGATGAATGGATGATAATTTATCTGGTTGGTGGTGAACCTACCCCTCTGAAAAATATGACTTCGTCAATTGGGATGATAATTCCCAATATGTGGAAAGTCATAAGGAATGTTCCGAACCACCAACCAGTAATATAGAAAATCCACCATTTCTTCATCATTGGGAAAGCCATCGATATTTCCATGGTGTGATCAAGCCATTCATACTCATGATGTCAACTCCAGGATCTACCAGATCCATGGCTTGGCCCCATAATTCTACGAAGACCTATTGATACTGTCGCCAATTTCTGGTGGTACCCAATTCTTGTTGCTTGCCATTCCCGATCGTCAAATCTCAAATCTGCCTCCCGTTCTTTGTCGGACAAACTCGGGTCTTTGGAGCGCTTTTCTGGCGGTTTTTCGAGTACCGGGAGCTTGGGGTGACCTGTGATACCTGTGATACCTGTGATACCTGTGGCGAAACGACATGGGTCAACATAGAAGAAACCGTCAAAGCCACGTATTGTGAGCATGGTCTGAAAAACCCTTTGCAATAGTTTCGTGACTCAAACATTTTGACACGCGTCTGGATGTTGTGACTATGGTGTCTTCCCCCAAATTCGGAGATAGGACAGCTTGAGGTCGAAAAGTCGGATCTCACTTCCGCGACCTCTTGTCACCACTTTCAAAGTTGCCCAAAGACTAGGAGTCACTTGGGGCTCCAATCATCCCAAGTGCGTCCAACTCTAACTGGTGGCAGTGACTGAACAACACTGTCTGAAACCTCCCATCCAGTGGTCTATCAGGCCATCCAGTCTTTCGTCACCTCATGGATGTGCCCTGAAAACTATTTCATTGGTGTAAATGAAACATATAGAGGAATCATAACTCATGGGGGTACCCCCCTATCATCCAAGTCATGACCATTTTAGTCTGGAAACCTGTAACTTGGGATACCCATATTTTAGGAAACCTCCATATCGATATATCCCTGCTGATATACCCTCTGGTAAACTTACAAAAAACTATGGAAAATCACATTTTTCAATGGGAAAACTCACTATTTCTACGGCCATTTTCAGTAGCTATTTTGACATAACCAGAGGGTAGTATCTGAGTATCTCATTGATGCGAAAAAAAAAAACTTCCCACGCAAACCACCGATGGAAACCACTTGGACTCAAGTCACCATAGCGCAAACCCAAGTTGTCGGAACGAACCGCCTCGTTGTTCGCACGTCCGGTGTGGGGGTTGGATGACTAAAGAGATGACCTCACCACAGTTTCCTCAAAAAACATGGGTTCAACAATGGAAAACAATGGTAAAATGCCAGAATTACCACCTGGTTATTTAACATAGCCATGGTATAGATGGCCCATAGAAATAGATGGTTTCTATATAATAAATGGTGATTTTCCATGGCTATGTTAAATAATCAGAGGGTATCTTCAAGAAATGTAGTTTTCAGCGAATTCTCAGGAAGAACACCATCCAAGTTTCATCAGAACCATCACCAAAAAAACATCCATCATGCTGGTGATTTTGTTAAGATCAGATGGTTTTGGAGTTTTGGAAAGATTGAAGATCTCTATCTGCCAAATTCTCATCAATGGACTAGCAAATTATCAATGGATTCCTTCAATGGATAAAATGATCATCAATGGACTACTTCCATGGATTGCCAAAATGGCCATTGATGATAATTTATCTTAGTAATTGATTATGAAGTTTTTTTGTAATCTATTAGTAATTGAAGATATTACTAGTAATCATTACTGATAATATGTGGTAATCAATATCAATATTTATGAAGTTTTGACTATTATTAATATTGATGATAATTGAGATTGGGGAACCAGGGGTGTCTAACTGTCCTCGCTAGAATTCAAGTTGCTTGGCTGTTTTTTTTGAAGAACCCGGTATTGACTATTAGTAATATTGATGATCAATTGACAATTGCTAATATGTGTCATGAATATCATCAATATGTCATCTTTAGTTTTTGTAATCTATTGATGATATTGATGAACATAGAATTATCATTGTAATATTGATGAATTATCATAATTCATATTATCATAAGATGTTCATAAGATGATAATTGTGCTCATCATTTTATGAAGATCAAACCGCTGGCCGCTTTTCTTTCTTTGCCGCCCAAGAAACTCCAAAGTCTCCATCCATGGCGACCTTCTTTTTGGCGATCGAAAGTTTGAGTTCGCGAGGGAAGCAGCAACACACCTCGCAACTTTTATAAAGGCCTAGAAATCATCCAAGGTGGTGCCGAATAGTTAGCTAAGTTGGTTTATAACTCCAATAACTATGGTTTATGGTACTTATAACTATAGTGAAAATATGGCAGTGGGTCAAAACCAATAGTACCCCTTTTTTGTTCACATCAAAATAGCTGGGATTTATGGATGTGAATAACCCTCTAAAAATGGTATTTTCATAGGTATTGACTCATAGCCATATATTTAAAACATATTAAACATATAATTAATCATCATGAGTCATAAGAATAGTTGATACTAGCAACAAACATAGATAAAGAGAAGAACAATCAAGCGCGCTTGGATGTTGGCTATCACTGTCAATAATCCAATGATCTCCTCCAGTCAGCCACAGTGAACGCACCTGCCTTGGCTCGCCAACAAGGGCGGCGCCGATTTACATCATCTGAGCCCAGCCAAATAGCGGTCACAGCTTTTTACCCTCTGGTTATGTCAAAATAGCTATTGAAAATGGCCATTAATAGTGGATTTTCCCATTAAGAATGGTGATTTTCCATAGTTATGTTAATTTACCAGAGGGTATCACATCGGACTTAGGAAAGGCTCCTAACTCGTCTGATGGTATCAATGCGATCTTCTGATCTTTTGAAGTCGGGAGAAGATTGCGAGTCATTCCACATAAATGTGTTCAATACCTGTTGGACCATCCTGAGAAAACAGCACATCCGCTGCACAGTTTCTGCTAGATTTGCTACAAAACAATCCGCTCACCAAGGATCAAATCACTTTCAGGGTGAAAAGGAGAGGGAAAAGAAGGCTCGAGCATATCTACAGACCGATCCTGGAAAAAAAAACATGTCTAAATTTAATTATATATACATATACATATACATATACATATACATATACATATACATATACATATACATATACATACACATACATGTATATATATATATGTGAAAAGCGCCTTGATGTCTGCACCTTAAATTTACATCTGGAATTCCAGTGATCGCCGTCTTACTTCCCCTGCAGGGCAAGCCTATGTTGAAGCCTGGCAGTCTTTCATGCTTAACCCTGGTTGGGTCTACATGCCATCGTTTGGAAACAAGGCATTGAGCAATACTCGAACTTGACGCACACCGCCATTCACAGAGACACAAAACATCCATTGGACATCCATGATATAGCTAAACCCTCAAAAAATGGATCTGGACAGTGTCAACCAGAGTTTTTCAACACAAAAAAAAAAACTATGGGGGCAATGGTTCGGGGAACACACGGTGAAATGTTTGCCAGGACACAAACCTTTCAGACTTCAGGGTGGCATGGGAAATTCCATGTATGTTGCCGGTTTTGCTCGGAAATTCTGCGGGTTTTGCTCGGAAACGTCGGAAACCCCCAAGAATCAACCATTCCCAGCTGGGGTTTGTAAAATTTGACATGATTCCCAGGGGATGAAAATGAAGCCCCAAACCTTTGGTTTTTGGCGATGGATTGTGGGCGCTGGGCTCATTTTGGCGGTGGAGTGGACTGATCGGGCACCTGGACTCTGGGTACTCAAAAAATGTGACGCAAAGGGCCAATCATGATCCTTCTCAAAGGGCCAAAAATTCCCAGCCATTTTCAGACACACCCAGCCATGTCCTTCGCAAGGTTTTCAACTCGGCAACGTTTCTGCAGTTCGAACTACATTTCGTAGTCAGTCCGCCCATGGTTTCAGCCCATGTTGCCACTCACCGTTTGCTTGAAGTGGTGTCCCTGGAGGACTGGGATCCAGCTCATGTGGTTTCAATCATTTGGCCACCATCCAGCTATTGGTGGGGGCCCTTTTTTTTGGAAAGGGGAGTCATATTATATTAGGGCCTTTCCCTGAAAAGGGGTACCTCGGATACCCCAAACCATAGGTCATTTTTTATGTTATTGGTATCCAAAAATGAAATCGATGGATTGGTGGATTCTGGGATCCCAAACATCGTTGCAGGGGATTCACCCTTAAAAAATCACGAACACCTCACTGAGGGAGTTGCTAGCCGGGGATGGGGTGACTCATCCCATCGTTCAGAGAAAAAAATTACTTTACTTCGTGTGATCCCCACCATGACATTTATACATTTTCTTGCTGGCAAATCTTCTGGCATTCTATCTGACATATCTTCTGACATTCTATTTGGCATTCTATCTGGCATATCTTCTGGCATATGATCTGGCATATCTTCTGGCATATCTTCTGGCATATCTTCTGGCATTCTATCTGGCATCTTCTGGCATTTTATCTGGCATTCTATCTGGCATATCTTCTGGCATATATTCTGACATATCTTCTGGCATATTATTCTGACATATCTTCGGCATTATGTTCTGGGCAGATCTTGGGATATCTCTCTGGCATATCGTCTGGAATATTTCTGGCTTCTATCTGGCAAATCTTCTGGCATCTATCTGGCATTTATCTGGCCTATCTTCTGGCAATAGTATCTGGCATTCTATCTGGCATTCTCTGGCAAATCTTCTGGCATTCTATCTGACATATCTTCTGACATTCTATTTGGCATTCTCTCTGGCATATCTTCTGGCATATGATCTGGCATATCTTCTGGCATATCTTCTGGCATTCTATCTGGCAAATCTTCTGGCATTCTATCTGGCATATCTTCTGGCACTCTATCTGACATATCTTCTGGCATTCTATCTGGCATATCTTCTGGCATATCTTCTGGCATATCTTCTGGCATTCTATCTGGCAAATCTTCTGGCATTCTTTCTGGCATATCTTCTGGCACAGATTGGAACAACTTCACTACGCACATGCATGACAAGCTGAGTCTGGGGAAGGGTTTGCAGCGAGATGAGAGATGGGGACCCCGGCGATTTGTCGCATGTGTAGTGTGTGCTGAAAGACGTTGGTCAGAGGAACTCATTCCGACTTTCATTGCTGGTGCGAAGACTGAGTTTCAGAAAGAAGATAAAGTTTGTTTGCTATTAGACCCAAAGCTGTATGTGTCAACTTGGCCAGAGGTGCCATCGGAAGAAGTCTTCAAGTCTTGTCCAACTGTTATGTTGCAAACAGGTGATAAAGTCCAAATGCTTTTACACAAACGTCGTGTGACGAAACGCATGTGCACAGGCGAGGAACAAGCTCCTTTGTGCAAAGAATGTAGGCGGTGTTTGATCAAAAACCCACCTGAAATGCCTGTGCGAGCTTTGGCTAACGGAAAGTGGCTCGGGCGACACCCAGAGTTGATGCGCAGGATGCCATATGGGCACAGAATGTTGTTGCCTTTGCGCAGGGTAATTCTCACCAAGGTATTTTTTACGGCCAACAGCAAGAATCCTTGGGAACGGTCGCACTCTGCATTTGGACTCGATGGCGTTACCACCATCGTAGAACAAGCGCCCACCTTGCCACCAAGCGGCAATTTGCAGAAAAGCTGATGTAGAAGAGTGGATTGATGGTGAGACGCCCGAAGTGTTGCAAAAGACTTTTGTTGACGCGCCTGTGGAAGAGTTGGATGAAGAAGAGGTTGAAGAGTTGGCAGGCAGAGCGGATTCCAACAAATATCGTGGCCCTGTGGATTCTACACTGGAGGCGCAAGAGTTGCTGGAAAGCTCCATTTGGCATTCTATCTGGCATTCTATCTGGCATATCTTCTGGCATTCTATCTGGCATATCTTCTGGCATTCTATCTGACATATCTTCTGGCATTCAATCTGGCATTCTATCTGGCATATCTTCTGGCATTCAATCTGGCATTCTATCTGGCATATCTTCTGGCATATATTCTGACATATCTTCTGGCATTCTATCTGACATATCTTCTGGCATATATTCTGACATATCTTCTGGCATATCTTCTGGCATATTTTCTGGCATATCTATCTGGCATATCTTCTGGCATATCTTCTGGCATATCTTCTGGCAAATCTTCTGGCATTCTATCTGGCATTCTATCTGGCATATCTTCTGGCATATTATCTGGCATTCTATCTGGCATATCTTCTGGCATATATTCTGACATATCTTCTGGCATATCTTCTGGCATATTTTCTGGCATATCTTCTGGCATATTTTCTGGCATTCTATCTGGCAAATCTTCTGGCATTCTATCTGGCATTCTATCTGGCATATCTTCTGGCATATATTCTGACATATCTTCTGGCATTCTATCTGGCATTCTATTTGGCATTCTATCTGGCATATCTTCTGGCATATCTTCTGACATTCTTTCTGACATTCTTTCTAACTTTCTTCTGCACATTCTTCATGAGGTCCGGCAGGGAACACTTGGCGTGGATACTCGCGGTTGAGGTCCGGCAGGGAACACTGGGCGTGGATGGTCGTGGTTGAGGTCCGGCAGGGAACACTGGGCGTGGGTGGTCGTGGTTGAGGTCCGGCAGAGAACACTGTGGATCGCGGGTCGCAGTTAAGCAAGGACGACGAGGACGACGAGGACGACGAGGACGACGAGGACGACAAGGACGACAAGGATGACAAGGAGGACGAGGAGGACGAGGAGGAGAGGAGGAGGAGGACGAGGCAGGAGTCAGGAGGAGGCAGGAGGAGGCAACTGACATAAAATCTAACAACCCTCACCTGGCAGGTGGGGAAAAAACACACACACCATTGAAACCATGGTTTCTTCTTAGTTGAACATACCTATGGTTCAATAATACCTATAGTTGAATGGGATAATTTAATAATAGATAAATAATAATAAATATCCCAATCACATACCTTAGTGTCTTGATGATTGGGATATTTAAAATTATTTATTCACATACCTATGGTTCAATAATATGACCCCCCCATTCCTATGGTTCAATTATTGATTATTGGGATACCATTATACTTGTGGTCACAGACCATGAAATGGGGGTGTTTCAATGGGAATTTCAGGATCCTAAAATGGAGGTACTGTACCATATAAGGCCATATTTTGTGGGGATATTCCCTTGCATAGGCCTAAAAAATAGGCCTTATATATGGTAGGTACCTCCAATCAATCGGTTCCTGAAATGGCCATTGCGTGTTTAATATGAACGGCATCACATCATCTCTTGACCATGGGGCACGGTGACCAGCTGGTGGCCACTGATGTCCCTGCCACCAACTGCTGGGCATCCAGTTGACAGATAGTTCTACTTGAATTCCCTATAATGTCATATCATATATAACTATATATCATATACAACTATATATCATATATATATAACTATATATCATATATATATAACTAATAACTATATATTATATATAACTATATATTATATATATATACAACTGTATATTATATATAACTGTACATTATATATATATATAACTATTTAACTAGTTATACATCCCTAATGTGCCATGGTTGACATGGAATGACAATGGTTCTTACTTGACATCCCTCATACAAGGTGGCTCCCACAGTTATGTTTGTTGGTTTATAAACCGTACGAACTATGTCAATGTCTACCATAAACCCAACAGTTATTGGCATAAACCAACTTGGCTATCGGCTAACGAACTGGAGGGCCACCTTGTAGGTTCATAATATCCATTGGACGACTCGTCAGTTCCGAAAAACATGTTGATGCAATGGCAGTAAGGCTTATCATGTTTCTGAGTCCAAATGGCCAAAAAAATGAGCTTTTCCACCTTGAGTTTGGCTGAGAACAACTGGCCCCCATTCCAAAGATTTGTCGCCATTTTACCCATATTATTTTGGCCTTGAACCTGTATGTATATAATATATATAGTTATATATATATAGTTACATATACTATATAGTTATATATATATATACATATACATATACATGTATACATATTTTAATATATATATATACATCCAATCCCCATCCTATCAGGGAAACTCAGTCACTCCGTCGAGACGTCGTCCTGGAAGCGCTCCAAATCAATCCGAAAGGCCTCAAGGCCTGAGGCACCAGACATTGGCCGAAAGGGCCCCAGGAAGATTGGATACAGTAGTGGATAGTAACAAATATATAGTTAAAAATATAATTATATATAGTGGATATAGTTAAAAATATAATATATATAGTAATTGACCCCTATTATAATATAGTTAATATCAATAGTAACAAATATAATATATATAGTTAGTGGATAGTAACCAATAGTGGATAATTGTATAATATCAATAGCAACCAATAGCGGATAATTGTATAATATAGTTAATATCAAGTAAACCAACAGAACTATGGAAAATCACCATGCTATTAATGGGAAAATCCACTATTTCAATGGCCATTTTCAATAGCTATGTTAGTTTACCAGAGGGTAATATCAATAGTAACAATATCATTAATATCAATAGTTCATTAATAATAATGGATTGCAACATATAGTTAATGGATTGTCTATAATAATGATATTGTTACTATATTACTTTTGGATTGTATACATATAGTTAATGGATACAATGGTATGGTATGTAAAATTGTGTAATATGTATCATGGAGTTAACTATTCGGATATATAATGGGAATATTAGATAAATATATATATATATATCATCAATATAATGGGAATAATGGATAATATATAATATTGTACATGATTGAATAATGTTGTATAATGGGGATATAATGGGAATATTGGATACAATATTATAATTGTATTGTATGATGTATGTATACATATAGGCTATGCTATTGCTATATCATGGGGATACAATGGGGAACATATATATATATAGTATATATATATGGGATGTTAATGGAATGTCTGTATATATATATATATGGTGAATATGAATGGGATGTTAATGGAATGTCTGTATAGTTATCATTCTTGAATCAATTATAATGGCTAGATCATAGGGGTTTTATGGGGATATATGATATATGTGATAATACTTGGGAATACTATCCCCACGATTCTTCAGGTAGATTTTCCGTAGGTTGCTTTACAATATAAATGGTGATACAAGGCCAAAAAAAACAATGGTAAACATGAATGGCATTTTTTGGGGGGATATAAATGGAATATTGAGTATTACCCTTCTGTAATCAAACATGGCTGGCTGGGGCCCGCTTTCCCCCAGCCAACTGAAGTTTTATGATGGGAATCATCAAACTCAATGGTGGATTTTTCAACCGTCTGGGAAGATTCCCAGAGGGTAATCATCACATCTCATAAAATTTGGCTGTCAGAAATTGCCTTCTTTTAAGTGGGGCTTTCCCACACAAAAAACACCGATGCTGTCGAATCTGCTGCTCACTTCACCCATTGCCCAAAAATTCTCACATCTAAAAAACAAGCGGCGCAACTGACCGTCCTTGGATATACACTATCACGATTCGCGGACAAGGAAGACACGGATCCTTCATATGCCATGTGAAATGAGGTGCTCTGGATTGCCAAGAAATAGTGGTTAACTACGGTAGCGATTGCGAAAAAAATCTGTTAATCCCCAGGTGTTAGTTGTGTGTAAGGCGTTCCACGCATCCATAGCGCTAAATATCTCGAAAAGGCAGAGAAACATAGTAAAACCACCGGTACCAGAACATGTTTGCTGGTGCTTATATGTAAATATACACAATGTTGGATTTTTTAAGCGCATGACATATATCCCAAAACCACGTCCAAATATCAGGTACCCCTAAAATCCAATTGTTTTGAACATGACTTTCCTTAAGTATCAAGATATGGGTTTGTCTGACATAGGAGTACCCAAAATGTGGAGGGTTATCATCATTTCCCCTAAATAAAAAGCAATTTAAAGTTGCTGGCTAGCCCCGTTTCCACCAGATATCCCGTAAAATATCATATTAAATGTCCCGTTATATCCCCACGATGAATTTCCTATCCATCCAATATGAAATCCTCATGTTATTCTGACCAAAATCCCATGATTTCCCCAGCCAAAACGCCAATGACTTCGAAGACCACAGTGGCCAGTGATGCAATACCCATCTGGGAAAACAGCAAGAAGCAGGTTGAAGGCCAAGAAAAAATCGTTGAGTAGCAAATGGTCCTATCAAATATGATGGTTTCTTAGAATGGGGGATCCCCAAGTCACCATAGGCTAACCGATTTTAAAATGGTCTACTGACTTGGATGATTTGGGTGTACCCCCCAATTTAAGGAAACCTTACTGTGGATGGAGGAAATCCTGCACCAGTTGGTAGATGGTAAACATCAATCCCATCATTTATAGCGTTTCATAGTTACCAATAGTTACCAACTGGTGCAGAATTTCTTCCCATCCACAGTATCAAATCCAACAGGTCGGAAAAAAACGGGTGGCTTAGTAACATTGGGATAGTAAATATTTGCCAAGATTTTCAGTAATTACGAGTCCAGTAGTAAGACTGGACTAATTTACTAACCAACCCCGTTTTTACTCACATCAGTGGCAGTTGCAACAGGTTGGTAAAAACTGGTGGGTTGGTAAATTGCTGGTTGGTTAGTAAAACTGGTTGTATCAAATCCCAATGGGCCAGTTAGTATAACTCTCTACATCCACTAATCAATTGAGGTACATAACTGGTTGGTGGTATACCTACCCTCTGAAAAATATGACTTCGTCAGTTGGGATGATGACATTCCCAATATGATGGGAAAGTCATTCAAAATTCCATGGTTCCAGTCACCACCAACCAGATAATTTTCATGGCTCATGTATCTGGCGAAAAATCATAAAAAGATTCATCGACCTGGGCCATACCCTCCACTTCTAGTGGAAGAAAATCCCAATCCCAGAGACAAACACAACCACTGAACATAGTTTTTTTGACTTCAGAAATTCACGGCTGAATTCTCTTAGGGTTTCGGGTTTTGACACATCCAATTGACACTTTGGATTTTTTGGGCCGAACTCTCTTGATTGTAGGTGAGGCAGTTACTTTTTGGGAAAATCACCTTTAAAACCCACCTGGCGATTTTGCGATGCTGTGAAACGAGCAAGGAAACGGTGACTTTGGAGGTAAAATCTATCAGCAAATCACTGCAAATTGATGCAACTGATATAAAGTCCTCTAGAAATCTTATTTCTGATGATTCCTGAATCAGGACCATGATTCATAGATCCCAAAAGCTAGTTCTTTATATAAAACCTACGTTTGGGATCCTTTTAGTTGATATGGAGGTTTCCTAAGTTGGTGGTACCCCATCCAAATTAGATAATGTGATTATAGCTTAAGCTATGGCGACTTGGGGATACGGGATACCCCATGAATTCAGAACCCCCATATGCAACGCATGCAACGCCCAAACCCTTAGAATGACCAAAGAAATCTCCGTGTCAAGGGACATGCCAAGCCGAATGTGCGAAAGCTTTTGCGCCGCCCATGCCCACCTAGCAGCAGCTTTGAACTGCAGGACTGTGGTAAACCTAATGCCATAAACCTACCATGACTGAGGTTTATGCAACCCATAAAGAATGGTGATGACCTCGAGATGGTTTGTTATTGGGTTTATCACGTTACCCTCTGGTAATTTAACATAGCTATTGAAAATGGCCATTTTTAATGGGAAAATCCACTATTTCTATGGCCATTTTCAATAGCTATGTTAATTTACCAGAGGATACCTGATATTGAATCAGGGCTGGAGAAATCGTAGGCTCTGTTTATCTGTAGTGTTGTAAAATCAAGCGTCTGCCAAAGATCCTGTTTTTCCACTCTGAATGAGGTGGTAACGTTAGTCGACGGGGGCTATCAACAAATATTACCCTCTGGTACAGTTGGACCCTGGCAGAAAACGGGGTTGGAAGACTAGTTTCCATTGAACATGGGTGATTTTCAGGGTCTATGTTTATTTACCAGAGGGTACCCTCTGATTATTTAACAGTTTGCCATGGAAAATCACCATTTTTATAGCTAAATCATCTATTTCTATGCTTCATTTTCCATAGCTACGCAACAACTAACCAGAGGGTAAATCGAAAACATGAGATTTAGCCTCTGGTAAACTGTTACATAACGAACTGGAAAGATCCACCATGCTATCAATGGGAAAATCCACTATACCATCTGGTTATTTAACATAGCCATGGAAAATGACCCATTTATAGATGGTTTACCTATTAAAAATGGTGATTTTCCATGGCTATGTTAAATAACCAGATGGTAAATGGACCATTTTCAATAGCTATTTTGACATAACCAGAGGGTAGTTGATGATTACTATTATTTTGTGACCACTGAGGGGATCATCGGAAAAAATCTTGTGTGGCTGACCTACACAAAGGGCCAGTCATTTTGGGGATATAAAGGGGATATCCAATGTTAAACCCGGGAATCTGGAAATATACGAAGGAATATACCATGAGATGGAGAAAAAATCGGATATTCCACGATAGATTTCTATCACACTCTTCCCACATCTATCCCTTTAAAATGCCCAAAAAAACGTTTGGTGTAAACGACTGGAGCCTTCCATGCCTTGGTACCATCGTTGGCCACGAGTTGCATCGCCACGAACATCATGGTGGCAATGATCACCTGCTGATCACTTTTTTCAGAAATCGCCTTAAAATGGCTATGAATCAATACCTAGTTTAATGGAGATTTAACCAAGAATGATCTCGTTGGACCAGAAGAAATGGAGCATGATTCATTCATGGGTATATATATATATATATGGGTATGGATCAATACCTATTAATACCATTTTTAGTGGGTTATTCACATCCATAAATCCCAGCTATTTTGATGTGAACAAAAAAGGGGATTCCATGGGTTTTGACACACTGCCAAATAGCAAAGAATGGAGATTCGATGGGATCGTGGGAATTGCCACCTGGGGGAGCTAGCAAACTTGTGGCTAATCGGCTCCACAGTTTATCACTCGCAAGATTCACTCATTGTTTTGCGTGGGATCACCTGAACAATAGAGAGTTGATGGGATTTTCGTGGGAATACCCAAAATTTGGGAATCCAAAACAGAATGACAAGAACAAAACAAATGGCAAGTTTGAATAGTAGGAATTGTCATTCAAACTATGGTTAGTTCCATGGTGGCAATCACTATTGCCATTTTTTTCTGGGAATTCTGATTTTTCACCGGGATTATGGGATAGTGGGAATTGCCACCATGGAACTACTAAACTTGCGGCTAATCCACACAATCACTACAAATATTCACAGTATTTAGGAATCCAAAAAAGATTGACATGAAAAAACTAAGGAACATGGTGATGACTAATCGATTCAGACCCTCAGGGTACCCTGCTGTTTTCACACCCATCTGGGTCAACAAAATTAAGACCCTGTTGTCAACAGAACTTGCTATGGATTTTGTGGAAATCGTTGTTTTCTTTTTTTTGAGCTGGCAAAATGTGCAGTGTCCCTATAAAGTCAACACACTTGATGTTTGAAAGCATCAGAAATATTTTGAAAGCATCAGAAATCTTTGGATTTTCCCACAATATCTACTGGTGATACGTCCATGTGTATCCCGTGGCCGCGGCAAGGTAATCGTCCATGGTTTGGTTATGGCTGTTCTGAAGGGATCTAGCAGCTATTCTGAAGGGATCTGCTGCTTCTCGGCTATTCATGTCTCCAATGTGTGTGGGCCAAACCTTAACTGCAAAATGACATGGGGATACATGGGGGCAGATACACCACCAACACCAAACATGACAGCTCCATGGTGAAGCCGTAAACCATTCTGGCCCATTTCGAAAAATCACATCCCAGTGCTGGATATCCACAGCGAGATTCTGTCGATAAAAAAGGCAATGGATATCTGCTGGTTCCCCTTAGACGTTCTAGTCACTACCCTCTGGTAATTTAACATAGCTATGGAAAATCACCATTTTTAATGGGTAAATCCACTATAAATGGCCATTTTCAATAGCTATGTTAGTTTACCAGAGGGTAGAGTGTGAGAAAACTCACCAATAAAACAACCATCCACCCATCAAACTTGAATCAAATATGTGTTGTTTCACCATCCAAAAGTCCGCCAAGAAAAACCACGTGAGGTTCAAAATCAGTTTGGTGAAGAGTGAAAAAGTGGGAGGTCTCAAAATCTTCACCATCATCTCTTTACCAATATGTACTTGATTGATATTAACTGTTAGATATTCTCCAAAAATCAACATACCATAGTAGCTGACTGGTTGCTACCAATCATTGACTTTTAGCCGCCAGAAACTGCCAGGGGGCAGAGCAAATGCACAGCAAAGCTCTGAACCTCAACAACGGAAAGCCATGTGAGTTTCTTGATGTACCCTCCATTAAGTCATCAAACGTGGCGATGGCCGGAAAATCACCGAACGAAATTCATGGAGGTCTTTGGAGGTTTTGATGGGAGAATCCTCCATAAACGAGAAAATCCCCGAACGAAATTCATGGAGGTTTGGTTCGCTCAGAAACTCCTCGAAATTATGGGCCAGGGTGTTTCCAGCAATTTCAGGGCCAGGTGACTGACACCAGAGGGCAATGTGGTAATCCTTGCCATAAAGCATCCCGTTAATCATCCATGAACCATCCATCAAAAGGGGGTCCGGAGTTCACTCACCACCAGAAACCTTGGGGTGACTCATCCATAAGTGGAGTCCTTGCCCTGCCCCAAAATGGCAGTTGCCCACTGGAAAGACTTTTTAACTTCTGTTTAACCTGAAGAATTCCTTGCAAACATGTGGATTCTTGGCAGTCGAATCTAATCTCCAAAACATCAAAATGGCTCGTGTTTGACCCACGCAAACCCAGCTATTTACCAGCTGGTCTATGCATCATGCATTGATTTTATCACCAGGTGAGCTATACAAGAAGTTACTTGTGTGAGCCCCGAAACCAGTCGAGAAATCCCGACTAAAGATTTCCGATTTTTCAAAGGACTCCAATTATAATACCAGTTGAATGTCTTTAAGTTCCCATTTTTGCTGGATAGATCCTCATTATATCCATTATGATTATGGGTATAATTCACTACTGCTCATACTGGTTGGTCAAGAAGAGGATTTTCAGTGGACTTTGACAGTCCCCCATATTTTTTGATGCTACTGTGGATGGACAAGCCATCCTGCACCAGTTGGTACCTATTAGTAACATAATTCAACACTGTAAATTTTCATGGGATTACCCTCTGGTAAACTAACGTAACTATGGAAAATCACCATGCTATTAATGGGTAAATCCACTATTTCTATGGGCCATTTTCAATAGCTTTTTGTATGTTTACCAGAGGGTACAATGGGATGTTTCTACGCATCTACTGGGGATTACAATGGAGTTCGCTCAACCATCCAGAATGGTTTTTTTTCAGACCAAACAGTTGGATTTCGTGATCGTATTTTTATCCCCAATTCTCATGAATTACTTGGTGGCTCATCCCACTTAGTAAGTGGGTTATAACCCCAGTTATAAATGGGATAAGTAGGGTTAATCCACTTATAACTGGGGTTATAACCCACTTACTAAGTGGGATGAGCCACCAAGTATAGCCCCATGAATATATTCCCCAGAACTATTGTTGATATCCCTGTTGATATCAAAATGATGATACCCATAGTAGAAAAAGTCCCATGAATTTTATCTCCCATGAAAACATCCCAGCAATGTGCCGGAATTCCCTTCCCCAACCAACAGGGTCCCCTATGTTTCGGTCCATTGTACCACGCTTGTTTCATCTGCAAGGCTTGTGTCGCCACGCTCCGCCGCAGCAGCCAAAAGGCACCTTTTTTGAGGCGCCCTAAAGGGCGGTCAAACAGCAGAATGTCAGATGTGAAAATTTGATATGTTGATACCAACATCAAATGAGTTCAATCTAAATGGCTTCAATTTGATATGTTAATTTAATTTGGTATGTAATGTACCCTCTGGTAATTTAACATAGCTATGGAAAATCACCATTTTTAATGGGAAAATCCACTATGAATGGTCATTTTCAATAGCTATTTTGACATAACCAGAGGATAAATGAGTTCAATCTTGAGTTAAGCATCTCGTGAAAAGTTTCGAATGGGTCGGATCTAAAAAACAATTTTCGCCATCGCAGTTGAGACCCTGGCTTTGGGCGAAAAGGAAGAGAAGACCTCGGCAGCAGTGCAGCAGCAGTGTTCGAAAGCCAGCAATATGGGAATTCTGGGGGTTAATAAACTCATGGTATAATCAAATATTCAATTATATCATCAACATTCAATTACCTAATGTTTGTGTAAATCAACTATTTCTATGAGAATTGGCAGTGTGTCAAAACCAATAGTAATTGTGTAGTTCACATCAAAATAGCTGGGATTTATGGATGTGAATAACCCACTAAAAATGGTATTAATAGGTATTGATCCATAGCCATATGGGAATTCTGGGGGGTAAGTGGGATGTAAGGGGAATGTGCACTTGGGGGGCATTTATTGGGTTACTCAACCTCTCATTCCAGTCTAGTGGAAATCATCAACCAACACACTACTCAATGGAGATACTGAGAATAATGGGGGCTTGAGCAGGTTTATAGACAAATAATGGTTTATTCTCATAATTATTACTGTTTATCTCATTATAGATAGGTTTTGATACTCCATTACTCAGAATTGATCCTGGTTTATAGATGGGTCTTTAGTTGTTGCCTACAGACAAAGTTCCACCATCAAATCTGAGTAGGGGAACTAAAACTGACATGGGGAAATCCACAAGTTACAATGGCCTTTTCTGGTTTTATGTTTTTTATTTAATCCCCAATGTAGAAAGGGTCGTATCTAGCCCGGGTGTTCAAAGTTGCTCAATTCTACCCAGGAGAGTGAGATCTTTTTGTGATTGAATACCTTCCACTAGTTGATCATCAGTACATGTAGATAGATACATAGATAGCTAGGTAGATAGGTAGATAGGTAGATAGCTAGATAGGTAGATAGCTAGATAGGTAGATAGCTAGATAGGTAGATAGCTAGATGGGCAATAGGTAGATAGGTAGATAGATAGAGTTCATGTCCAGAATTCCTAGTTCCTTTTGCCTCTCTCAGAAATAGTCAATATACATCATCCTTCCAATCATCAGGATGAAATTATATCATCGCTGTCCTGCTGAGGTTGACTGAGATGGGGGGTGATAGAAGAAAATGGTCACGGTCCCACATCATTTGGATATGTTTGGATGCTAAATACCGTGAAACTTCGATGGTCTACAGCCCAAAAAAATTCACCGCGTAGGTTTCAACCATATATTTGCATGTATATATATATACATATGTACATATACACATATCATCATTGACTAGTCATCAGTGCATCACTTCATCCTATATGGACAGGTTCGTTTTCACCAGGGAGTCACAGGAGCGGCATTCACTGGGAACACCGGGAGGTACTTGGAGAAGGGGCGACCATCTCCTTGAGATTCTATACCCTCCAGTGAGCCAAAGGTTGAAACATGGTGTTTGGAGGAAAATCCTGTGTTCCTTGCCGCCAAGACCATCCAGTTACTTGCAGCTTTACATCGATATCCCCAAAAAAAATGTGTGGGATACCCTCTGGTAATCTAACATAGCGAACTGGAAAATCACCATTTTCAAGTTCGGTAAATCCACTATTTCTATGGCCATTTTCAAGTTCGCAAACTGTAAACGTTTACCAGGCCGGGTATCCCACACATCATGATCTTTGGCAGAGCTTAACACCCAGAAATCACCAAAAATTACCCCGTCAGAATGCAGCTAGGATGCAACATAAGGTGCCTAATACCACATGGAAGGCAGGACTGCCTTGGAAGTCTCCAGCCGTCCAACATTTCAGAAGCATTCGACTCTCAACCATTTCAGAGACACAAAAGGCAGAATCGAAACGTAAAGGTAAATGATATCCGGTGGCTATTTATACATATATATATATTATTATGCTATGTATGTATGTATATATATATATCATATGTTGATATATATATATATATCATATATTATATACCATATATTAAATATTAACTATTATATATTATTATATGTGTGATATTTGATATCATCGGTCATTTAATATATATATATAGTGTATATATATATATGTATTACAAATTACATGTTGAATATTATATATCATATATTGCATAGCATGTATATTATATATTATACATATTATATATTAAAGTATATGATATACTATACATTATATATATTATATATTATACATATTATAACAATTTATATGATGTATGTCAAATTATATATTATACTATGTTATATTATAATATATTATATTGTATTATATTATATTATAGTATAGTATATGGTATTATATCAGGTTATGTTATATTGTATCAAATCATATCATATTCTATATAGTATTATATATATAAGTATTAAATCACATATATTGTATGTATATATATACATTATATTATATTATATTATATTGTATTATATTATATTATATTATATTTATATCTGGCTGTGGGTATACGAAGAAAAAACGAAAAAACTGGAACTCTACTCTGGATGGGATCGTTCACCAACTGGCGGTTGCTGGGAAAATCTCTCAGAAATGATCATGGCCATGTGATATAATCAAACCCTCTGGTAAATTTAACATAGCTATGGTATAGATGACCCATAGAAATAGATGGTTTACCGAACTTAAAAATGATGATTTTCTATAGCTATGCTAAATTACCAGAGGGTATGATTATATAGCTGGGACTATCATCGCACTAAATGTGGGATTTCTTCAAAAAATTGGAAACTGAATGCCATTTTGGGGTGACAATGTTGCAGATGTTCCAGACCTTTAAAAAAGACGAACTTGGTGGATGAAGAGTTACGGCAGTGGCCTTGAATGATGTCCTGGAAGTAAGACATCCACCGAATGACGTGTGACATGTGCCAGGTACTTCTGATAACCTGCATATCCACCCCAATGTGGTGAAGATACTCTGATCCCAATTGTCCGGCGATGGACAACTAGCATCAATTACCCTCTGGCAAACTAACATAACTATGGAAAATCACTATTTTAATGGGTAAATCCACTATTTCTATGGCCATTTTCAATAGCTATGTTAGTTTACCAGAGGGTAGCTATTTGCAAATGCCATGCCCTCTATTTCCCCATAAGGCGAGTGTGGATTTCCCATCGCCGACTTAGATTTCCAAAGGGCAAGGACCATGTTTTCCATGCCGCAGGATGCTGCGGGATGTTTTCCTGTTTCTTCATAAACCATGGTAAGAATCCACCTGGCTTCAATTTTTCCTGGGAAAAACCATCACTTCACAGGGGGATCCTATGGGATCATCACATTCCAAGGGGCCAATCACATGCTCTCCCCTGGCTGCTCGCCAGATCACCAGGAACATGAGGAAACCAGGGCACAGCCGTGTGGCCGAAACCTGGGTTTTGGGCGAAAAATCATAGGAGATCACAGGCATTCAGCCCCTCCAAAATGTCATCGCCCAAGAATTGATTGTCAATTTGAAAACCCTTCGTAAACTCCAACTATTGGGGTTGCCACTTTTGGGGGTTGATGGCCCATGGAAAAACCAGCAAAGATGGGTAGCAGTTTTCACCTAACGGTCGATCTGCCGTATCAGCATAAGACCCACCAACAACCACAATTTCTGGATGTGATCTGCATTTCTGCATGCAAAATCCCTACTTTTGTGGACACTATGTTTAATCGGCATTTACCCTCTGGTAAATTAACATAGCTATTGAAAATGGTCCATTTATAGTTGATTTACCCATTAAAGATTGTGATTTTCCATAGTTTTTTTGTTGGTTTACCAGAGGGTATAAGCACATTCGTTCAATGGAATAGTTTGACTTGGTATGAGGAGAATCCACACTCTTGCTGGTTAACAGAGTACAGATCATCCCTAGTGAATTTTGAAACCCCCGGCATCAACAACTGTTGGTCGTTGCTCAAAGCGGTCCTTTAATCAAAGTTTGGTTCCTCATTCATGTTTCCCTTGGAAACCTCACTTTACTTGGGGTCAACAACGATTGAAATAACCAAAAACGAATGTTTTCAACACTCAAAAAGACAAAGAAATGCATAGATCCTTGAAACACCCTGCATAGATGTCCCGAGATGTCAAACGTTGACCCAGAAATTGCACCAGGCTGCTGTTTGCCATTGGCCAAGAATGCCCTGTTCACCTTGATTTGGGACCATAGAAAGGTGGCCTTTTCTTCCGGCTGTCTCAGAAGAAACATATGTTTCCAGCTGTATCTCTCTAGCCTGTCTTGCTTTGCCTTTTCACGAACTGGTAGACACATTTCCTGTTGCGATTCTTCGGGCATTTTGAAGGAGAGTGTTCTCATGTACATCCAAATTATGTCCATTAATTTGGTCCCTTAAATCTCTTGTTTTCCCTTCACTCTAGATGTGTGGTGCCATTCTGACCGCAAATGGCCCACAAAGCGAACACAAAATCACGTATAACGAAAGGATTCCTTGCGATTTTTCCCAACCCTGCCATCCATTTACCCGGTAGTTGGTTCGTAAAGAGTAAGCATGAGCCAAGCAACAGCTTCCGCAGCCCCAGCTTTGAAACAACCCCCAGGCATGTCGAAATCACCAACAACATACGAACAACAAGATTTGTGGATAATTGTGGCACTACTTGATTCCTTTGCACAATGGATAGACCATTGAATACATGTCGTTTAGATCCAACAATTATGGAGGCTGTAACCGACAATCACTGGAATGCGAGGTAGAAATCCCCGCGACACACAATGCCGTTGGACAGCGTGAAGGCTGGTATTTGGACACCCAGTTCTTTAAAAATGGTGATGGTTTGTTGGCTGTCGAAAATGCAAAATCCGGTTTGCGGGCACAGGAAAAATGTTGTTCCGAGTTTTACTTGTGCCCACATCTAATGCAAAGAATTCAACCACCCGGCAAATCCTGCAACACCCACACCTTGGGGGCGCACTTCCAGTTATAGCTATAGTTTGGGGTAATAAAAGGTTCTTTCCAAATCTATGGGGGTTTTAATCCCATGGTTATGCCTGGCAGCAACCCCCAATTCCTTCCAATAATTGCACGTGTATAAATGATTTTCCAATCACTTCCCAGGATTTTCCTATGGATTTGCCCGTGGTTGCACCCATAAAAGATTACCTCAACCACAGCCCCACCCCTCGGCGAGGCACTTCCTGTTGCATCAGGCTCATGACATTCACCGGCATTTCCAGCGAAGGGTGGATGCTCGACGCTGGTCCAAGGGGAAAAACCTTGGGATTTGTGTTTTTGTGGCTGGGGAAGAGCAACAAAATGCCCAAACTTGGAATATGCTGAAAGCTCAAGGGGTCATCAAATCCAGAAAAACATTTTCACTTTAATGGCAGCAAGCGGGAAAAGGCTTCAGTTGTAACGTAAAATCTGAATCTGGAAGACGTGATGGTAATGCTCCTGATGCTTGTGCTGATGATGGCCAGGGAAACCCTCGCCCTGAACCATTTTGGGGTGGTGGCATCTATGCTATCCTTGTTGCCCACATGGCGGTGAATTTAATTGCACGAAGTTGCAAGCACACTCCAGATGTAATTTCACGACGAAAAAAATGTCCCATCAATTTAATCAAGGTATGCGCGGGCCCGTGTTGAATTCTACTGCGCTGCCGCCTTCGGTTGTGTGCATCCAGCATTTTACTTTCGCTTGCGTTGGCAAGAATAATGCGTTAAGCTGGGAAATGTGCCGAGGGTTTGAAGCACCATGGGGCCCACGCAGCAAGATGGCAACGTTGCCAGTGTTGCTTTACAAGCAACCTTTCCTGCACCCAAAGGGGAAAGTTGGCCGACCTCCCAACCAAGCAACGTCGCAAGATTGGATCTTCCGGGCCCAGGAGCAGAAATCCCATCTGCAGCATCACCTCAAATCCGCCAAAGCCATTTGCGAGATGACAGCGGGCAGCAACGCGCGCCTCCCTAAACTGCCGCCCCTAACAAAAACATGCAAAAATCCTAGCAGATAAAGAGCTCCCTAAATCAGCGGAGTCAAACTTTAGGCTGTCAACCAAAAAGGCCATCTGCAGGATTTACCACTTGTTTTTCCATGATGCCTCAGTGCAGGAACCATGTAGGAATCTCTTAGCTCTGCAGAGGCTTTGCTGGTGCTTTGCTGCACAACTTGAGTGCTGTTGGGGGATCGGTCTACGACATCATCCCTTTGCAGCTCGATAAAACGCCCGTCATTGGGCGATCCTGTGGATCGAATTTGCCAGGGGTTTTCACGAGAAAGCCCGGAGATACCCAGGGTTGGATGGGTAGGAGTTACACTCTGGCTGTTTAACATAGCCATGGTATAGATGGCCCATTTATAGATGGTTTACCTATAAAAAATGGTGATTTTTCCATGGCTATGTTAAATAACCAGAGGGTACACTCACTTATAATCATGTTGGGAATATGGATACCCAACCGCTCCAAACCGCTCCATCACCGATGGCGTAAATCTCAAGATGTTTTTATTTATGAAGCTCTCCGCAGGTAAAAAAAACTTCAGCAAAGATCACCCCGGGGTTTTTTAACATCAGATGGTTAATCATGGCTTGCCGACAAGAATTCACTGTACACATATGAAATGATTCATGGTTACCACTTTTTTGCCATCTATTCCCATAGACAATCTTTCACACCCTGCTGTTCACAGCAGCTTAGTAGATAATTATCTCCGATAGCAGCAATTTTGACTAAAGTAAAGTGCTGTACCCTCTGGTAATTTAACATAGCTATTGAAAATGACCATTTATAGTGGAATTTCCCATTAAAAATGGTGATTTTCCATAGTTTTTCGTTGGTTTACCAAAGGGTACCCCTCCAACATTTATCCAGATGAGGCCAGCTACATGGCATCAGATGGTTGGTAGAATTTCACGCTTTGAAGGTGAGGTGAGTTTCCCTCAAAGTCGTGGATCTCCTGATCCAAATGGGATCAAAAAAAGGATTACAATCCATAGCCGTCCCCCGCTCACATTAAACACTCCAAAAACCATGGCAATAAGTAAGATTTACACATATTTGGGAACGTTCAGAAGAGTTTTTTCTTTTAGGGAGATTGGTTTTTACCACTTATACCCCGATCTTATAACATTTCTTTGTGGGGATAAACCTATTTGAATTTGGTGGTACCCCGTTTTGGACAATACCCAATCGTCAGATCCAAGAGAGAATGACCATTCATGACAACCAACCATGCACTGCCCGAAGCCAACAATACAGCAGCTACCCCTCGAAATGAAAGGCCCTGGTGAGGTGTGGATGACACCTTCACGGCATCGAACATGAGAATAATTGGTATCACTTAAATTCCACGGAAGATCAAACTCTTCATATGCAGTCTAGCTCGTAATGAGTCACTCCTGGATATGGCAGCAGGAGTGATTCTGACCCCCAGGCTGCCTGGATTCCTGACAAAGGAATGATTCATTTTGCTGGTGAATCAGGCATCAGTATTCGTGGATTTTGTGGCTTCGAAGCTGACAGGAGTGCACAACTGGCATCGGTTTGAATTGGTTTTCTACATCAGTTTCCAGTGGCACTCAGATCTTCGAATCCCTTCTTTGGAAGGATCTGACCATCTGACCGAAAAAAAAAACTGGGCTTGAGACTGGAAAGAGGGAGGATTTTGGTTCTAAACACATCTGAGAACATGTTGATATGGCATGATATGGCTACATCCATGCGACTTTCTTGTCAGCCCATGTGACCATATCAGCTACCAGGCGCGCTAAAAGGAGCTCCGAAACGAGGCAAGGCACAAAGTATGCCATGCCATGATCTGCCAAATGCCAAAAGCCTCGGCGGTCTTAGCAATAGCCTTCGAGGAAATTCAGACGGGGGGTTCCAGGATTCCAGGGTTCCATTTGGGTATGGGTCAAAATTAGGTACCCCAATAATTGGATGGTTAATACTAAACTAGACTAACATCTGTGGTCCCCTAGGTCTTCCATTTTGACCCACATTCATTTCATCATGGGGGCAGCCCATTTCATCATCCATTTCATCAGGATTTCCATTATAATAAACCATCCAGCTATTGGGATAGCACCATTTATGGAATGTTCCCATAGCTGGTTTCTTTATCATTTTCTTTTGGGATGTTCCCTTCTAAACCAGCCAGCTGGGGTATCCCCCTGTCGACCTGAAAATCCCCTGGGTCATCCTGAACCGAAAAGCTGGTGGACCATCCAACGCGTCGACATGAGGACATCTTTCACCCCAGGCCGAGACCGGCATCAGCTCAGCAGAGGCTTTTTTTCAGGACAAGCCCAGAGGTTTCATGCAGAAATGATGCTATTATGTCCCCAGTAAGGGACAGGTCTGACCTGTAGGGCTCGGCGCTTCATCAAAGATTTAAGTAGGGCTCGGCTGAAATGGATCATGAAAACCAAGTATTTTTGGCCTGGGAAAACAGAGAAAAACCCATGAAACTGGTGGAGAATCCGTGGAGCCCCCACAAAAAAGGATGCGAGCTGCCTGCTGGAAACTTCAGACTGTTCATAGACTGATTCAGACTTTCCAGCTACCCCCATGGACGTTAAAAAAATTCTTGGGGGGTTAGCTGCACAGGTAACCAGTCAACACAATGTAACCAGTCAAAAGCCTCAAGACCATCCACAAACCATCGGATGCTTGAGCCCCCCACCTATCTGGAGGTTTCTTGACATGTACCCCTAAATCATCCAGATTCATACAGGATGGTGCCCCCCAGTGATGTTTGTTGGTTTATAAACCCCATGAATACTATAGTTATATCTGCCATAAACCATAGTGAAATGGGAGTTATAAACCAACGTAGCTAACTATGGGGCACCACCTTGTAGGATTTTCCGAAACCATCCATCTATTCATCTATTCGGGATCCTCCATGGAAACCTCCGGTCCATCATCTCACTCTCCTCGGAACCGAGGGACGATAGCTTTGGTCCGAACACACAGGGCCATTCAGCTCCGTCCCTACCCGATGTTGGTCGCAGTAGTGATAAATTCCACAGATCACGGCCTGGATGGGATTACCAGAAAGCCCCCTGGAGAAAAATCCATTTTTCCGACTCCCAAAAAAACCATGAAATTTGATGGGCCACCAGAGTGGACAATTGAAATTGATCATGTGCAGTGTGAAATCATCCATTTTTTAGGGGGTCAATGATTTTGATTACCCTCTGTTAAATGTTTACAGTTTGCGAACTGGACAATCACCGTGCTTTTCAATGGCTAAATCAACTATATTTCGACCGGGCAATGTTCAATGTCGCAAACTGTCAGTCATTACCAGAGGCTATCCAAATGGAACCATGTTGCCGGCCTGGGATGCGAAGATCACACCTCGGGCGAGATGTGAAGTTCACAACCTCCCCGAATCTCGAAAAAGGTCGCCCGAGATATGCGAGCATTTGCTTGCAGAGCCATAGAAAATGGATGAAAATGGTCCAGTTATAAAGAATTGACCCCCTGAAGATGGAAATTTTCCATAGCTACAAATTACCATAAAGGCTATCCCCTTCGACATCGCTGTTTTCGTTACTTCACACATGCCACATCCCTCCCAGTCCCAGCTCTAGGTGGATTTTTTGGACCTCTCGGAAAGGCTGGGACGATCAGTTTCGAAAAAATGGGATGATAGCTATGGGATGGGCCCCCCCAGTGATGTTAGTTGGTTTATAACCCCATGTCAAAATAGCTATTTAAGTATCATACACTCTTGTTATTATAGTTCTTTGCACCAACTTAGCTAACGAACTGGGGCCCCACCCTGTATGAGAAAATCGTTTCATCAATGGGATTTCAGTTTCAACTAGTAGTGGAATATGGGATTATGTTACCATCTGTTACCCCTATGTCACTATGTGAATAATGTTGCGCGAATCAGTGCCAGTCGGCCATCTCCGATTGGATTGAAATCTCTATTGTGTCCACTTCTTGAATTTACCATGATGAGAAAACGACAGGCCATTTATCATAGAATAATATTCCTGTTCCCATTATACCACTTGTTACATAGCATTTCTGTTGGTGATATATCGCATTAGATATACAATTTTACCATTGGATATACAGTTTTTCCATTGTACCATTGTACCATGTTCTCTTATGGTATATCTAATTTCGGTATAACCCAGGTATAATTATGGTATAACCCAGATATATCAGCTGATATACCATTCTACCACTAGATATACCATTAGATCTACCATTTTCCATTATACCATAAGAATCTCTAATGGAAAAATGGAATATCTAATGGAACATGATATACCATCCTACCACTAATTCATAGTTCTTTCCCCAAAAAACCTCCCACGTCTTTCCCAGAAATTCCGGGAACCGAGGCGCTGAACCAGTTGAGACCATGGCGTCCAGCCCGTTGTGCCGGGACCAGGAAAGCACCCGAGGTGACGATCAGAAGATCAGTTCCATGCCGCGACAACCTCAGTGTCGACAAAATTGTGCGGGATGTTTCCTATGGAAAATGGGGTTCATTATAGGTAGTTTATCCATTTATAGGGAGTTTATCTATTTATAGTTGAATGGAAAATAGTTCAAGAGAGTTGATCCATGAATAATGAATGGTTGGTGGTATACCTTACCTACCCCTCTGAAAAATGTGACGAATCGTCAGTTGGTATGATGACATTCCCAATAGATGGAAAGTCATAAAATTCATGTTCCAAACCACCAACCAGATGATCATGAACTGTTTGGAGTTGATTCATTCGTTGAATTCATGAACTGAGTTCATACAGTGAAAATTCATGCGTTGAATAGTGAATGAATTAGACATATCGAAAATCACCGAGTTTGTTGATAAATGACACTGGCCATCTTCCATAGCTGAAGAGCATATGTAGCACTATGGTTCACTGAAACTTGACTCCAATGTTGACTCATATCAAACTCATATCCAAATAGGTCTGTAACAATATTGCTTTGCTATTGATATATCCATGATATATATATATATATTATTATTATTATTATTATATATTTATATACATATATATTATTATACATATATATTATACATATATATATATATAATATATATATATGTCATGTGTGTGTGTCGCGGTTGCTATTGATACAGCTTCAGCCATATTCATCCTATGTTCCCTGTGACATCTTCCCTCATTGTTGACCCATCCCAAACGACTTTGCCCTGACCAAGAGGCCAAGATCTTTTCACCTGGCCCGGAGCGGTTTTCTGTAGGTTTTCCCGAACCAATCGAGTGTGTATCATGGTCATTAAAAGTAAGTATTCATTCAAACTATGGAACAAAATGAAAAAACAAAAAGTATCATTCTAGTATCATTTCATGGTAACGGCCGCAGTTGATAGTAATTAAAAGTACCTCTTCAACTTTGCACGGCCAACTTCTGACAGCAAACAAGTCAGTGCTTTAGCAGGCGATCTGAAAATGTCCCCCCATCTACTGCAAAACCCATGCACCAAAGTCTACACAGCTTCAAACATTATTGCCCCCCCTAAGCTGAGATATCCCACCAAGAAGCTGGTGCTTCGCTGAACGGCATCCCGGGTCATCGGTAAACTGACATTGCTATGGAGAATCTACGGCTTCACTCAGAAATCTTCTACATGTCCGGTGGATTTTCCACATCTCTCTCAGTTTTCTGGAGGACAATTTCAAAGATCATCTCAGTTCTATACGTTTTCCAGATTTTTCCCTATCTATGAATCATCCCATTAGCTACTGCGGCGGTATATCACTACTGACCAATCGATGTTCATCTCTTGACGACTCCAGGTTTACAGCCAGCATAACCCTTTCCCAGACTATTCGTTCTTGTTCACCATGTATTTGCCAGAAATCATGTCCTTTTGGTAAAAATAGGTAGAGGGGCCGGGAGCTGGTGATCATCCCATCTATCATCATAGAAACCTGTTGTAACAAAGGGGTAAACCGGGTAAACCTGAAGAAACCCCTCTTTTTTCATCAACCAATGGGAAGTGGTGGCTCTGTTTCCGGCCATAAGTTCACCATGTTGGTCTGCTTTACTCATAGGGGTGTCAGTAGCTCACTGCGCAGTTCCATTCGTTGTCAATTTGACATCGTTCAACTGTTGATCTTTTCTCAAATACCCAACTGTTGGTTAATCAATAATGACAACGTTGTCAATTCAATGGGACTTTCAGGATCCTAGATTGGAGGTACCTACCATATATAAGGCCTATGTTTTAGGCCTTAATTTCAGGGAATATCCCTACAAAATATGGCCTAAAATATGGTACTAACGCACCTCCAATTTAGGATCCTGGAGATCTCCCATTGATCAATTTATTCAATTTATTTCCCAGCTTGGTTTTCATCAACTGTTGATTGACAACTTGCTGATCCCCAAATTGGGATTCCCCCAACCAAAGGCTGGAAGAAAGTGCCCATTTTCGCTGAAACTCACCATCTAGTGACGAAACAGACCCCCATTCCTCCTGCTTGCCGTTACGCGATCTATGGGATGATCCGAAGCGAAGGAACCGAAAATTCGATGACATCAATTTCATCCCGAACATGGATGACCATCCAACCAAAAAAACATCAATTTTTCATAGGGAAATCGACTCCCTATGATCATTACTGGATCATTTTTTTGTGGGTAAAACAATGTCATAAACCACCCATTTTCCTGGGAATGGTCCGGAATGGTCTGTACCACCTATAAAAATGGATTAAAAATGGTGATGACTGGGCCCACATTAACCCAAATTGATGGCTACATTAAGCCCCCTGTGTAAATGACCAAGCTCAGCCTCTGCTGGCTTCTCGAAGGGTTCAGAGCGCCTCAGTGCTACAAAAATTCACAACCATGGACCATGGGGCAAAACACGAGACTGGTTGGTGGTTTCAACCCCTCTGAAAAATATTAGTCAGTTGGGATGATTATTCCCAATATATGGAAAAAAAATGTTCCAAACCACCAACCAGGAAAGGATGGGAAGGGGACACAAAAAAATAGGTTGGTTGAAGGTTAATGGTTGATGGATGTTGAGGCTTTTGCCATTGCCATTCTTGATTACCTTGATTGGCATCCCCTGGAAGATTGTTGTTTAGATATCCCATCGATATGTTTTCCCAAATATATCCAATTCAATCACCGTTTTCTATCAAGGTCAGATCCCATTAGCTACCCTCGACATGTAGATTTAAAAAAAGATGGGGACAACCCACCAGACATAGTTTTCGTATCATTTTCCGAGACGGAAAATGACCCCATTGTTTAAACCACATTTAGTTTCCGCATCTATGTCAGTTTACCCCAGGGTACAGTACCCTCTGGTAAACTAACAGTTTGCGACATAGAACATGGCCCATTTATTAGTTGATTTACCTATGAAAAATGGTGATTTTCCATAGCTATGTTAGTTTACCAGAGGGTAACCATGAATTTTTGTGGCTTGTGTCATACCCCGTTTCCCTGCAGTGACCCTTCAAGTGTATGGTGAGACGACAGGCTTGGCATTACCTGACCCGCCCGGTCTGAGAGTTACCCTCTGGTAAACTAACATAGCTATGGAAAATCACCATGTTTAATGGGTAAATCCACTATTTCTATGGCCATGTTCAATAGCTATTTTGACATAACCAGAGGGTATCAGAAATGGGTGATATCAAGCATGAACACATCAACAAGACTGGGATATGGGAGGCTCCCTTTGTGTCATCAAACATGGCTGGCAAATCCCCCAATTCCCACATGAACAGTGAACTCAGTGAAGGCTAAGTTCTTCCCAACGTGTTACCCCAAAATGAACCCAACGGTTGAGTATTGGATCTATAAAAAACATTGGGTCTACTGAGGTTAGAAGAAATGGTGGGATGGGATTTCAAAGGAGGATTTCAACGGGAGTCAGCAGAGTCATGACTAGCTTTGCTCATACATCTTTGCCTGGTTGGTGGTATACCTATCCCTCTGAAAAATATGCTCGTCACTTGGGATGATGACATTTCCAACTAAATGGAAGAGTTAAAATTCCATGGTTCCAGTCACCACCAACCAGTGACGTATTTCAAAACGACTTCCTGGTTGCGGCTTTCCAAGCTTTTTGGCAACGAATCCCCTATTCCCATGGTGACAGCTGTGTCGTCATCTGAGCCATCCAACAATGGTGCTATCTGAGCCTGCACGGTTGGCAAGTTGAAGAGTTGAAATTTCAGTGGTTCCATCGGTTCCATTGGGCTTCTGGCTACATCCAAATCATCCAAAATTCTGAAAAACCCTGAAAAAGAGAGCACCTGGTGTGATTTTGCTGCGAAAAACTCTGCAAGTCGGAATGTATCCCATGTCAAAACTGTGCCTTGAAACAGGTCAAATCGCTTAGATGCGGTCTTATTTCCTCAACGATGGACTCTGACTCCACAGAAATATTCAGAAATAGATATATTATGATATCAGATATATATTGGTTGCTGGAAGTTGCTGCATTGGATCATCCTCTCGCAGAAAAAAATCAGTCACTCAGCATCCGTCAGTTTAGTGTTCCAAAAATCCCAAGCAATTGCATTCTCTGAGACAGTATTGCATTTTCACAGAGATGCATGATTTGGTTGACTCAACATGATCAATACTGACCAATGTTTAACCATGGTTTCCATGTTTGATTTCCCGTGAATGCTATGATCCACAGCCACGCCATCGCGTCCGGGGCGACGATTCAAAATTGTGGTACCAATTTACCATCCCAAGACATCAGTCATGTTTACCCTCTGGTAAACATACGAAAAACTATGGAAAGATCCACCATGTTTAATTGGTAACTCATGGTAACCAACCACTATTTCGACTGGGCCATGGCTTCTATGTCGCAAACTGTTTCTACGTTTACCAGGCCGGGTAAGCCACGAATCTCCATCAAATTCCAGGTTCGTCGACCCAGCCTCTCTTTCAAGCTCAGGAGGCCTGCAGAAACTGGGTGAAAATCGTGCGGCCCGGTGTCGCACATGGCCCAGGAAATCATCGAAAATCATTTCAGAACTATCCATAGCCACATTTGGAGACTACGGATCAATCAGCTACCAGAGTGAATAGCTAGCAGATGGATATATAATTCATTCCACAAGGATGGGCAGAAATGAATAGTGATGACCGATGAACCCATGTGAACTGGCCACTGTGAATAGCAACAGTTGGGGTTGTCGGTAAATCGAAACTGTCCAAGACTTTCAAGGAGATCGTCCCCAAATGCTTTAAATTTGGCGATCTTTCCCCTGATGATGCCCTTAAGATGGGCTGTGTCCCGTGTCCCAAACCCAAAAACCTCCAGGAACTATTCCCGTGCATCCACTCGCTGGATGATTGTGCAAAAAGGCTACAAGAATTACTGGAGATACTCGCTTGAACACACCCATCATTGATCGTCATCTTTAAAGGAAACTACATATGAAAACAAATTATTCCAGAAGTTTCAACTGCGTCAAAGAAGTTAAAAAATCAGGTTAATCGTGTTCAGCCCTCTGAATAAAAATCGCGACATCACATTTTCCGCGGGCGTTGGTGCCTCACATCGGGGACACCAGCATCCTGACAGGCCAAGAAACACTGTCTTTTTGCTGGTGAATTTGGATATACATTTTGGAGTTAAAAAATCATACCATTTGTTTGAAACTGGGGTGCCCCAAAATCTATATAGTGCTTTGCCATTTTCTCCATTAAATTGTGAGGGAAAAGACGCCGATTTCAGGGGATTTTCGAATACTTCTGACCATTTTGGGGGACTTTCTGGATCAAATAGCCGGGCCCGGCCCTTTTAAGCTGGCCAGAAAAAAGATCCCCCAACTCAACATCTAGCTGGAAATTTTCGAAATCCACCAGGTCTGTTTGTTGTTCCTAAGGACAAGTTGCGGAGATGTCCAAAACTGGTTCTAACCCCCCCTACTATTTGTGGCTGTGGTATCTGCAAATTAGAAAGTTTTCTCTCTCAAATCCCCGCCACATCACCATTGAGACTGCCATGAATCAAGGGTTTCTTTTTCTCCTATTTTCAGACCCCTAACGTTGGTTCGAAATATTCCATCATCCATCATACCCTGACTGGTTGGTGGTTTTAACATGTTTTAACCATCTTGAAAAATATGAGTTCGTCAATGGAAAGGATGACATCCCATATATTATGGGAAAAAAATGTTCCAAACCACCAACCAGCTGATTATAGTTCCATTACCCAATTTATGGTTGCACCCTTGGATCATCTGCAACGAGCCTCGTGCGATGGCACTGGCCTTGATGCCGGGAAATCACTAACCAATTTTTGGAAAAAAAATCATCCTTAGACATACCCTCTGGTAATTTAACATAGCCATTGAAAATGGCCCATTTATAGTTGATTTACCTATTAAAGATGCTGATTTTCCATAGCTATGTTAAATTACCAGAGGGTAGACATACCGGATGGTTGAAAAATTACGGGATGTCTATGGATGCCGAAAAAAATTTCACGGGTCATTTCATCAACCACGGCAAATTGGTGCTTCACAAAGGGAACAAACGCCGCGTGGCGCTCTTGACTGGGACCAGCTTAGTACGGTTTGCGAGTCTCATTTCATGGAAAAATATGGAAAAAACACGTGAACCTATACAAACATGTTTTCCACTTGACTCCATTTGATTTTTTGAAATGTGTGTCCAATAATATCCAGATGCTTCCCAACATTACAAACGTCAAATTCCAGCATCTCACGTGTTTCGCTCAACTGCCGAGCCGTGCTTTAGCTTGTTCAGGTAGTCCCCTAGATTGCTGTGTTATAACCCAAAAAAATTGGAAAACGACGTCCCTGGGTCCCTTCTGGGTCTTTTTCTGGGTCCTTCTGTGCAACCTGATTGGAACAAATAGCCGGGAAAGGCTTTCCCACTGGCAGGTTCCAACCCGCTCGGAGTATGAACGGTTCGCACTCAGATTCAATGTTGACATGTGCAAAGCAGCGGTGTACAAGTTGTATCAAGTTGTTTTTTACCTGTCCTCGCATTACTGGCCGGGTCTTCACTTAAGGACAGCAACTCGCCCACACAAAACCTGGACCTTCGCAGCGATTTGAAGCGAACGGGGAACCTCGGCCGATGTTCTCGGTTTTTTGCCCCAGCCGATGTGTGATCAGCACCGCGAAGGCGGTTTTCCCCAGCCATGCCTTTCAGGTTGTCGGCCACTACGAAGCTGTAAACTCTCATGTGTTAAGCTTACATGCGTGTGTACACCCATATCGGTGGGCGTGTGCCATTCCTCTCTGCTCCCCTAGCCCAATGACATACGATCGATTCTTTGTCGCCAGCCGGGCCGTCTAGAATCCGAGAGAATATGTCAGACAGAATTTGACAGAATGTGTGTCAACTAGAATGCCAGGTATGATGTCGAAAAGATGGGAAAAAAAACATATTGAAAAAACTAGAAATTCAGATTGGATGCCAGATAGAATGTCAATTCCGTAGGCTTGTCTGCGTGTTTTGTGGATGTGTTTGCTACCACTTCTAGTAGGAGCTATGCCTGAGCATTAGATCTCCTCTTGCGTTGCTCTGGCTTGATACACCTCCAGTTAAGTCCCAACTCGAGGCCATTTTTTACAGAGCTTTAGTTTGTTCTTTAAATATCTCCTAGCTTGAGCTTGTTCTACATAGAAAGATCCAAAAGGCTTGTCCTATTCATTTCTTATCCTGACCATGTTCCTTAGTTCTCCTAGCTTGGCTTGTGCTGTAGATTTAGTTTGTTCTAGCTTTAGATTATATTCTGGTTGTAGCTATAACTATAGTTTGATCTTTACTTTTTGCAGAAAGCACAAACCATTTTTAGCATTTCATGTAGCATTTGATTTCATGTGCAGATAGATTTGCACGCATGTTCAACTGTCCAGATTTGCAGCACTGCAGCTGCCTTTTTTCCAGCTCAAATTCGAAGACTTTCGAGTCGCCGACGAAAAGAAGGAGAAGGTGCGATCTTTGGAGGACGAGGCTTGGATTTGGGCACCTGGTGTTTTCCAGGTTATGAGCCCAAGGAGGCCACTGAAGATCTCCTTTGGTTAGAAGTTTCAAAGAGGATTCAAAGGCAGAAATGGCAGATGTTAGGAGGAGAAAAGCCACCGCCCAAGAACTAGAACAGGGTCAGGAGGAGATCAGGTTGGCTGATGCAAGGTTTCGTAAGGAGGCTGTAGAGAGAGGTGAAAAGGCACTAGAGGATGGACCCGAAAAAGGGACTAGTGAAGAAGCTGAGGCTATGATGTCCCCACCCATTGAGGATAAGAGGGATAGTAACCCTAAGGGTACCCCAGCCAGAAGTCCAGACGAGGGTTCAGCCAGCAAGCCACTGCAGCCGCCCACTGATCCGCCACCTCAACCACCTGAGCTGGGTAACGGTGACACCTCCTACGGCATGCGCGACCAGAAGATGAATGAAAATGTGGAATCAGGGTCTTTGACTGCGGAACGACCTCTGAGGAGCGAGATGGCAACTCCTGGAGGACCGATGTCAGAGGCTGCAACTCCAGGAGGGTTTTTGGGTCCACAAGTTCCGTTGTTTTCAGAAGAGCAGTTGCGGAATTTTGCATTCATTCATAGCCAAGCACCATGGCTGTACGGAAACCCACAGTCCATTTTCACTGGTTCTGTTCCGCGTCCTACGTTTTTGGATGTTGACGCCCCAAGAGTTGCGCAGAGTCAGATGGAAAGAGATGTGGAATTTTTGAAGTCTCAGATTGCTAGGGACAGAGATGAAAAGGAGGAATTCAGAAAACAGATCCAGTCGTTGACAGCAGAGAATCAACGGTTGAGGTCCAAGGCGAATGGTGATGAGAAAGTTTCCAAAGAAGAAGAACTTAGGTTTTCTACTCCTGAGGAACAGACTTCGAAGCCGAACTCAGGTCATCCGGAGGACGATCAAGACTGGCTGAGGCGACGAAGCACTGAGAAGACCGAAAGTTCCAAGGAGGCTGGCAGACCACCATTCCTCCCTGAGGCTGCAGAGTTCAAGGAGGCTGCAGACTTTAAGACCCCCAAGGAGGCTGAAAGACCCCCAAAAGGGAGAACTGAGGATTCAGAAGAAGGTGCGCAGAAGCCGAGCTCTGGTCGAAGTGTGCCCCAGTCCGGTGAAGCCACGTTCACCGAAAAATCCATTGAGTTCATGATGATCATGATGGAAACCATGAAGGACTTGCAGAAGAAGGTCAGTGAGTCGAAGGAGGAATCAGGGATGGTTAGGGGCGTCGAGATTGTGAGAACCGGCGTTCCTGATCTGCCAACTCTACAACCCTGGACTCCGAGTCAAGGACCTTTACAACTTGGAGATTGGCTGCTGACAGTGGAGCCAATTGCAGCTGATTTGTCAGCCACATCGGAGAAGTGGTGGGCATTGATGGTGAAGTCGGCGGAGGACTGGTATCAAAGACATATGGCCATGTCTCCATTGGACAGAGTTCAACACGATGTCAGACCACCGCAAGAGGTGAACTTGGAGAAATGGTCGAGATTGGAGCGACGGATGGCATCACTTCTTCTTCAAGCAGTTCCCGAAGTGGTGAAGGAGGAGCTGATTTCGGCCAGAAGATCGAGCGTTTTTGGGATTCTGACGCAGCTGTTGCTGACCTACTGCCCGGGCGGTGTGCTGGAGAAGCAAACATTGCTCCGCGGTTTGGAGGATCCTATGGAAGTTGCAACGATGGCCGAAGCTCCTTCAGCGATCAGAAGATGGCTTCGCTGGAAGTTGCGGTCTCAGGAGATAGGTGCTGTGACTCCGGACCCTGCACTCCTTCTCAAGGGTCTGAACAAACTTACCCGCAAGGTGCTGGAGTCCAACAAAGAACTTCAATTTCGGGTTAGATTGGCCCGAAATTCCCTTGGAGTGGACACAAGACCTACCGACATCACCGTCAATCAGTTTGCAACACATCTCTTGGCGGAGGTTGAGCAGGTTTCCTTAGCAGAAAAAAGAGCTGCTTCCGTGGGGACGAAGGGCGATGTGAAGCTCAAGGCCATGGAGGTGGACAAAGGGAAAGGTAAGGGTAAAGACAGGCTGGAGGGTGATGAGAAGCAGAAGCCCAAATGCAAGTTTTACCTCACCGATGGAGGATGTCGGAAAGGAAAAGAATGTGGATTTAGCCATGATGTGAGAGATGAGAAGAGGCGTCGCTACACATGCGGCAGCGTGGATCACTTGTCTCCTTCCTGCACCAGATCGAGGGGCCCATCATCTGAGACGAGCCCTACCAAACCCAGAGTGGCAAAGGTCGAGGGGGAGGACAAGGGATCGTCAGGAAAGGATCCTGAAGTTAGCAGCCAAGCTAGCTCAGACAGTGCATTGAAAGATCTTTTGGAGGAGGCGAACAAGATGCTGAGGTCTTTGTCGTCAAAACCATCTTCAAGCCAAGCGTCTTCTGGGGGAAGCACTCAGGAGGATGAACGCAAAGATGTGATGGAAAGGCTTCAGCAACAGTTGAAGGCTATGAAAGCTTTCAAGATGAGGAGATTGGCCACAGGAGCTGATGTGGGATTGGTTGATTCAGGGGCGACTCATGCACTTCGCCCTTGCAGAGATGGTGAGAATGTCCAGGAGTATCCACTGGTTGATGTTGGCCTAGCGGATGGAAGAGCTGTGAGGCTACGCATGGCGCCTGGAGGATCAATGATTGCCCCTTCGCCGGCGATTGAGCCGATTGTGCCGATGGGACAGCTGACGGAGGTGCTGGGGTGCCAGATTGTTTGGAGTCATGGAGAAATGCAGTTGAGGCATCCAGAAAAAGGGGACATTCCAATTCAGATGAAGGAGGGATGCCCACATCTTGCAAAGTCTACAGCATTGGATTTGATTGCGGAGATTGAAGATGCGAAGGTTGGTATACCAAAGACCCTTGGTGAATACGATGAGGAGGTGTGCTGGATGAAAAGATTGGTGGAACAACACCCAGTGCTGTCGTCTCTCCCAGAGTACATCAAGGAGAAACTTGTGGTCTGTCCAGGAGAGTGGTCTGCCCTTCCTGGAAATCGTCATCAGCGGAAAAGGTGGCGACGGGATGGGATGATGGTTCATTTGTTTGCTGGACCTGATTCTGGTTTTACTTTGAAGAAGGCACTACGTCAGCTGGGTGGACCTGATGACAAGCTGCTGGAGGTGGATTTGAAGAGAGGTTCACACCACGATGTTATGACAGATGAGGGTGTCTATGCTGGCCTGATTCGAGCCGCGATTGAGTCCAAGGTTTTGGCCGTGGTGGCTGGTCCAAATTGCAGGACACGCAGCCTACTTCGTCATGTTCCAATTCCGGGGCAGCCCAACGCACCTCGCCCAATCAGGAGATGGGGTGGAGAAGAGTTTGGGGTGAAAGAGGCCACGGAGGAGGAGATTCAGAAGTTGCATGAGGATGATATCATGATGTGGCGATGCATTTTTCTTTTCATGCTGTCAACTTACATGAGAAGGGCGAGAAAGTTGGATGATTGGGTGGCGTTTGGACTTGAACAACCAGCGTCGCCAAGGGACTATATGCCAGAGGTTGTCAGTTTCTGGGACACCCAGGAGTGGAAGGCGATTGCGAGCGAGTTTGCCTTGGAAGAGATCACTTTCAAGCAGGGCGCTATGGGAGGAGCTTCTCCGAAACCTACAACGTTTGGTGGAAACTTGGAGCTGAACGTGGATGTCTTCCAAAGAAGGAGTTTTGGGAGCCCTGTCAAGGTCTCGAGCTCAACTGATTTGTCAAGGTGGGCTCCGGGAGTGATGTCTATGGTGTCTTCAGCGCTGATTCAACAGGTATGTCAGTCTGGCATGAAACTGAAGTCCTTGACATGGGAGGAACATTTGGAGTTCAGACACGCTCCTTACCGACGTGACTGCAGAGTATGTCAGGTGCCCCGCATCGTCGAGTTCGAGATCCACTGGCAGGTGTGCTGTCAATAGACACTGCTGGTCCACTGAAGCCAGCCTATGACTCCGGTGGAGCTATGGCACGGTATTTCCTTGTGGGTGCTTTGACATGGAGGGTGCCTAGAGGAACAGACAAGCTGAAGGATCCACCAGAAGAGGATCTCCCAGATGACGCTCCAATGATTGAAGCAGAAGGAGAAGATGGTGAAGTTCATGATGAGGTTCAGGATGAAGTTCCACCGGATGAGGACGGGTCGGGGAGAGGAGCCCTGGTCCAGCTCTCCGGCGAAGCGCCGGGTGATGAGAGGAGCCACCCTGGCGGGGTCCCTGATAAGGACGGGTCGGGGGGGTGAACCTCTGGTCCAGCTCTCAGGTGAAGGAGCAGAGCCAGCTGAGCCGCTCCAGACCCATGGCCCTCCGACGTTGGAGGAAGCCACCGAATTGCGAGTCTTTCGCATGGCCTTGCCGATGAAATCAAAGAAGGCAAGAGAAGTTGTGGCCACGGTGATGGAGTTTGTCTTGCGTTTGAGGTCAGAGGGGTATCACATTGGGAGGATCCACTCAGACCAGGGCCACGAGTTTGCGGGTGAGTTCAGGAGGTGGGCATTGCAGCGTGGAATCTACCTGACGAGAACGGCAGGTGATGATCCTCGTGGAAATGGAAGAGCGGAGGTTGCTGTGAAGGCCTTCAAGAATTACATCAGACGGACGTTGAGACAGGCGTCGGTAGATGCGAAATGGTGGCCCTGGGCACTACGATACTCCAACGAGGTCCAAAGGTGCATTCGAATGGGAACGAAGCCGGATTGGCCTAGATTCCTTCAAGAAGTGAGGGTGAGGAAAAGAACATGGAAGAAGGACGATTTGTCGTCACGTGTGGAGACAGTGCAGTATCTCTGCCCTTCCATTGAAAATCATGGCCATTGGATCTACAAGTCTGGTGAAGCTCCAAGGCTGACGAGGTACATCCTGGCGCCAACGACAGAGCCTGAGGATGACACGGTTTGGGTTGCAGTTGAACGTGAGGGCCGAGATGCTCAGGAGCAGAGGAGGAGGATCAGAGGTAAGTCCACCTTGAGAAAGATGGAAGCTTCCTTGATGAGTTCCGAAGAAGTTGAAGAAGAGGAAAAGAAGATTGAAGTGCGAAGGGTGATGAAGTTGGTTGAGGAGGAAATGCAGACTCTCATCAACGAGGACCCTGAGATTGCAGCAGACGAGGTCCGAATTTTGGGACGCTTGAGAAAGATGGTGGAGGAACACGGGGGAGAATGAAGAGATTTTGCAGACCAAGATCATCTCTCCCAAGGAGGTTCTTCGAAACTGGAGTGAATGGGAACCTTCCATCAGAAGTGAGGTGGAATCTTTGACGGTGGAGAAGTCAGCACTGAAGCCGTTGACGAAGGCAGCAGTTGAGGAGCTGAAGCTTCAAGCACAGAAAGAGAGGAAGAAGTTGGAAATCTTGCCCTCCAAGATGGTGTTTACGATCAAGCCAGGTGGGAAGTTGAAGAGCAGGTGGGTTGTCTGTGGGAACCATGAAGAGAAAAAGGAGGGGGAAGAGACCTACTCCACAGGCGCAGACGCGACCACTTTGCGTCTTTTGGTTTGGACGTCAACAAAGATGGGTTGGTGTGGATGCGTGCTTGATGTGCGCACAGCGTTTTTGAATGCTGAAATGGAGCAGTCGCCTGAGGAGGATTTGCTGCTGATTCAGGCTCCACATGTTTTGAGAGAGGCCAAGTTTTTCAAAGGAGAGGCACTTTTTCTGCCGTTGAGGGCGGTTTACGGGTTCCGAAGATCTCCAAGATTGTGGGGACTACACCGTGACCGAACCATGAGAGACATGAAGATTTCGGTTGTGTTGGATGGCAGAAAAGAGATGCTGGTCTTGAAACAGTTGGAGTCGGAGCAGAATCTTTGGAAGGTGGTTGTTTTGAGAAAGGGCTTTCAAGAAGATTTGGAGGATGAGTTTGTCTCCAATGGCCGGGTGGTTGGACTGGTCATGACGTATGTGGATGACATCCTGATCACCGGCAGGAGGGAGGTCATGGAGTCAGTGACACAGCAGCTCCAACAGACCTGGAGCACCTCAGTTCCAGAAGAGATCGGAGAAAAGCCAGTCAGATTCCTGGGCATTGAGATCACCCGTTGTTTGGCAGAGGGGGAGGAGAGAATGCATTGGAGTCTGAATCAACAGGCTTACATCAGAGATCTTCTTGGAAGGTATGAGGATGGAGAGAAGGTGAGAAAGATTCCCATCACAAGGGATCAAGCTGCCATGAGTCAGGACGTGACCCCACCGACACCAGAAGGGGTCAAGTCATGTCAGAAGGTCATTGGAGAGCTGCTCTGGTTAGTCACTCGTACACGACCAGACCTGATGTTTGGAGTTTCAAGAACGGGCGCGAGTGTTCTCAAGTCCACTCATGCCATACAAGAGACAGCCAAGCAGATGAGGCTGTATTTGAAGGCCACTTTGGAAGAGGGATTGAGGTTTGAGGAAAGACCGGAAGACCCAATCAACCTGTACGTCTACTCAGACTCAAGCTTTGCCCGGAGTCAGATGAGTCGCATGGGTCTTTCATTGTTTTGGCCAATGGAAGTTCAATGTTTTGGAGAAGTGGCCGCCAATCTGCGGTGACCTTGAGCACGGCAGAGTCGGAGCTCACGGAATTGGTGGAGGCGATGGTGGCGGGCGAGTCAGTCTATGCCATCATCTCGGAGTTGTTTGCCGAGGTCAACCGCATCGCACTTTGCGATTCTCAAGCTGCTTTGGCGATCCTTTTGGCAGAAGGAGGGAGCTGGCGCACCAGACATTTGCGCCTGCGTTGGTCATTTGCGAGGCAGGCAGTCTTGAGGGGTGATTGGCAGGTTGGTCATGTGCCTGGAGAGCGCATGATAGCAGACATCGGAACCAAAGCTCTGGCATCGACGCGACTGGAGCTTCTCAAAGAAATGCTCGGCATGAAAAAGACTGGGCATGTGGAAGTTGAGGATGCAGGAAAGAATGAAGAGAAGGGGAAGAAGATCCCTTCACAGCCACAGGGACCAGAAGTTGCCACTTTGGCTTTGCGGCTGATCACTTTAGCAGCCACTTTGCAGATGTCAAAAGCCATGGATGATGAAGAGGAAGAATCTTCAGCCGAATTCAATCAGCTGATGATGATCTACACCATTTTGGTTGTGATGGCCACCTTGGGTCTTCAAGCTTTGTGGAAGGTAGGAGTAAGCTCAGCCTGCAGTAGCTTGAGGAATTGGTTGCTTGGCGGCGAGGGCCGAAGTCTCCCTGCGGAGCCTGAAGAACCTGAGGTCAGAAGGCCAAACATGGAGGAGTTGATGACATCAATGGGCCGCGCTGAGGACGGGTCGGGGAGAGGAGCCCTGGTCATGGTGTGAACTCTGTAAGGAGGTGGGAATGCGAACGCGAGGACGTCCACCACCAGGATCTCCACTGCTCTTGCTGACATCGGGTCAGACTCTTCACACAGACGCCAGATGCCCGAGAACTGAAAACACCTCTGAATTTCGCGGGTGCATGTATCGCACTGATTTTCCAGGATAGGCAGTTTGAGCTTGTGACTGTGCCCTGACGGACCAGTCAAGGGGGAGTGCAGAAAGCACAAACCATTTTTAGCAGTTCATGTAGCATTTGATTTCATGTGCAGATAGATTTG